ATTTGAAGAATTAGCCTACAGAACAAGACTCTGTCAGCAATACAGATGACTATGGGTTAATGTCTAGAATACACAATGAACTAAAAAACTGACCACCGAAGCAAACCATGTAATTAATGATTGGCTATGGAGCAGAACCGTGTTGTTATTGTTTTAATTAGGTGTAATCTTGGATAAGCTTCTGTACACATGATCTCTTAGCTTTAGCTATCATATTAATATCACTCAATTCACTATACATACATACGAAGTGAAAAAGATGTTATGTCAATGTATGTAATCATGGAAAATAAAGCTTTAGTTTAAGATTCAGGAAATGCCAAGAACACTGTGGCTTACATTATTTATCAGCAAGGAGACTTAATTTTGCAAGTTGAGTATGATTATAGAAAGAAAATTAATAAAGTTTTCTTTTTTTAAATTTATTTATTTATTAAGGATTTCTGTCTCCTCCCCGCCACCACCTCCCATTTCCCTCCCCCTCCCTCGATCAAGTCCCCCTCCCTCATCAGCTCTAAGAGCAATCAGGGTTCCCTGACCTGTGGGAAGTCCAAGGACCGCCCACCTCCATCCAGGTCTAGTAAGGTGAGCATCCAAACTGCTTAGGCTCCCCCAAAGCCATTACGTGCAGTAGGATCAAAAATCCATTGCCATTGTTCTTGAGTTCTCAGTAGTCCTCATTGTCTGCTATGTTCAGCAAGTCCGGTTTTATCCCATGCTTTTTCAGACCCAGGCCAGCTGGCCTTGGTGAGTTCCCGATAGAACATCCCCATTGTCTCAGTGTGTGGGTGCACCCCTCGCGGTCCTGAGTTCCTTGCTCGTGCTCTCTCTCCTTCTGCTCCTGATTTGGACCTTGAGATTTCTGTCCGGTGCTCCAATGTGGGTCTCTGTCTCTGTCTCATTTCATCGCCTGATGAAGGTTAATATTCAGGAGGATGCCTATGTTTTTCTTTGGGTTCTCCTTATTTAGGTTCTCTAGGATCACTAATTATAGGCTCAATGTCCTTTGTTTATGGCTAGAAACCAAATATGAGTGAGTACATCCCATGTTCCTCTTTTTGGGTCTGGCTTACCTCACTCAGGATAGTGTTTTCTATTTTCCTCCATTTGTATGCAAAATTCAAGAAGTCCTTGTTTTTTACTGCTGAGTAGTACTCTAATATGTATACATTCCATACTTTCTTCATCCATTTTTCCATTGAAGGGCATCTAGGTTGTTTCCAGGTTCTGGCTATTACAAACAACGCTGCTATGAACATAGTTGAACATATACTTTTGTTGTATGATAGGGCCTCTCTTGGGTATATTCCCAAGAGTGGTAAAAATTATGTTTTGCAATGGAATTAATTCTCTAAATATTGAATCAGAAGTTAAAATAATGCAATTTAAAACTTTACATAAAGGTCCTGATTTTATTTGTATATAATTACACATTACTTATATTTCTGCAAGAGCTAGGCAGAAGAAAACTAAAATGCACGCACATGAATTGCTAGAATTTCAGTAGGCATTTTAGTTAAGGTGTGATGACCACTAGATTGAGTACGTGTGAAAACCATTCTACTCTGCAGCCAAGCAGAAAAGCCCAAAGTCGGGTAATTAGCTACAATTTACAATTTATTCAAATAATATGGGTACCTAAATGACTTCAGGAGGAGTCTCTAATCTAAGACAATTTTAAGAATTCTATCTCACTGAAGAAAGAGCTTTTCAAATGAACTGGAACCATGAGGAGACCTTGAAGACCTTTTTCTCATCGATGGTGGTAATATACACCTCAGATAAGCCCAAACCAACCCTTGTTTTGATTTTTTGGACCACAGTTGATGTCGCATTTCTAAAGTACGAGTACACCCCAGCATTTCTGGATCATACACAGTGCTTGAAGAAAGTTTTTCAAGTTTGTTTGCTACATGGTTGGACTGATCGCTATTAGTTACACAGTTGGCTATTTGAGAATTCATGAAGTCTCTCCCGTCCAATTACGTCACTTAACTTTCAAACATCAATATAATCTCCGCTATTCACAGTGTCCTGACAGACATATCACCACAGCCTTCAAGGACTGACAAAACGTTGTCAAAAATCCCTTTAATTAGGAGTCTTAATTGACTTGTCATTCTGAGATAGATTCATAATTTTATTTTTAAACATAAAGCACAAATATTTATAATAAATACAAAGGAGGATCTAAGACTAACAATGAAGAAAAACACCAGGATGGGAATGTGGTCAAATAAAAAATGCTGACTGAATGGTTCTCAAGCAGACATTTAAAAACTATTTAGAGGCTAGAGAATGAGTGCATAATGCTTTTTCTGAAGATGATCATTTAGGGCAATGAATAGTGAGAAGTGAATTAATAAAATTATTCACTTTTGCTGTTTCGATTAAAACCACTTAGACACTTATTGTTTGGAATTGAAAAAAATTGTAATTTTGCCAGGGAGAATGTTAATGTCCCTTTGCTCTCTCCTGATATTCGTTATGGTTTTCTGTCTTTTGTTTCTTCCATAAACCTTTTATTAATTTCTTATAAGAGCAAATATTATGTATATGCTTTCATTCCATTTTCTGCAGAATAGAGTTAGAAGACAAAGAAAAAGCAAATTTCAATTTACTTCTTTTAGTCATGTTAAGATTCGATACATCATCCCTAGATTCATAGCTATGGAATATTTTAGGTCAAACTGAATAATCTTTAATCTTGTACATTTTAAAATCTTGATCTGTATAGTTACTTTAGTCACAATCTCCATATTTTATTTTTAAATACAAAGCAATCACACACAAAATTTCAAATTACTCTTCATATTAACAGTATATGGATGTTTATGAGAATATGGACTATTAACATGTCTGAAATATGTAGCTAAAACATTAGAACTTAAGACTCTATTTTTGATAAAAATCCACATGCATCTTTAGGAAACTGTTTTTAACTTTTATTTCATTGCATTTTTTTCCCTTTGGTTTTTTGAGACAGGGTTTTTCCGTAGCTTTGGGGCCTGTCCTAGAACTAGCTTTTGTAGGCCAGGCTTTAACTCACAGAGATCCGCCTGCCTCGGCCTTCCAAGTGCTGGTATTAAAGGCCTGCGCCACCATTGCCCAGCCTATTGTCCTTTTGTGTAGTCAGCTTGTCCTCTAAGTAAAGCAAACCTTTGAAGAATGAATAGAAATTTGGGGTGGTTGATATTTAAAGAAATAATATGAGAGTAGTAATATTAGCAATTTTCTTTTATCAATGGACTTGTTTAACTATAATAATTCTTGTATATAATTTGCATTTAATGGTTTCTTCAATTGCCATCTGAATTATCTGTTTTATGGCCAATTGCTAACATGGAAACATAATACATTCCAATGGTTAGGTGTCTCTAAAGTGCTTTCCTTCCTGTGTTGTGCATCTAAGTTACTGGAATATTATTCTACTCTTGACCTAGGAACTATTCTCAACTTTAAAAATTACAACATGCATTTACCTCCAATTATACAGTTAAAAATGGTGCTTCCTGCCCAGTAAATTTCTTCTCGGCTAAAAATAAACTTGTGAGGATTCTTCCCCTTTTCTCAAAATTTTATGGTAGGATTAATAAATCCTTACTATGTCTAAAAAGAGTCATGGTGCAGTATTTTTTTCTCAAGTAACTACATTTTCTCAAGTAACTACTTTTTCTCAAGTCACTAGCTGTGTGTGGAGAGCACAATTTAATTCTTTTAATAGATGATTTAAGTTTCCTTGTGATTTAATTAGAATTCAGAAAGAATAAACTAAATGATTTTCACTGAGGTAACTAACATAATTACAATTAAGTATAAGGTTGAGTTGAAATTTTGTGAAATATCTGGGTACTGTATATGCCAGGGGTCTCTCCTTTGACTGGTAATGGATGTTAGCTGGTGGTATTAAGGACTGTATCTGGATATTTTTACCTACACTGTCTAGAGTGTTGTGAGAACTCGAATTTATTCAGTTGGAATTATCAGAGCTAGTGTCCCTAGGTTTTGAATGTGGAAACTTCAAGGCCTTCCCACTGTTGACCTTCAAGTCACAGAATATCACTTTTACTGCACTATGTTGGGTACAAGTAATTTATGCCATCATTTTTAACTCATAGATCTGTACAGCCTAGGATTCTCTATTCTTCTAAAATGTTTTTATCTTTCCATCTCGTCTCATCTCTATTAGTCTAATTTCCATTTGTATTTCAAAATCTGCCTATAGCTTTTAGTGTCTTTGATATTGAGGTTAAGCCAGAGAAATGCAAGTCTACGTGGTGCCTGTCCTGACTCACAGGCTTGGAAAAGTTATTTAAACTATTAGTTCCATATAATCTACAATATAAATCAGAAGACAAATGGATCTTGAATAGCAATGAAGAGCTACTCCAATTCTTGAAGCCCCTATAAGCAGAACATAGAAAGAAACTTATGACAAAAAATAATCTGTTATTTTTTTAAATAACATTTTTTATTGAGAAAAGGAAAAAAAAAACAAATTTCCTCCTCCTCCCAGCCTCCCATTTCCCTCCCCCTCCTCCCACCCTTCTCCCCCTCCTCCCACCCTTCTCCCCCTCCTCCCACCCTTCTCCCCCTCCCCCCACTCCTCTCCCCCTCCCTCTCCAGCCCAAAGAGCAGTCAGGGTTCCCTGCCCTGTGGTAAGTACTAGGTCCTCCCCCCTCCGTCCATTTCTAGGAAGCTGAACATCCAAACTGGCTAGGCTCCCACAAAGCCAGCACATTACGTAGGTTCAAAACCCCGTGCCATTGTCCTTGGCTTCTCAGCAGCCCTCATTGTTCGCCATGCTCAGAGAGTCCAGTTTTATCCCATGCTTTTTCAGTCACAGTCCAGCTGGCCTTTGTGAGCTCCCAATAGATCAGCTCCACTGTCTCAGTGGGTGGGTGCACGCCTCGTGGTCCCGACTTCTTTGCTCATGTTCTCCCTTCTTCTGCTCCTCATTGGGACCTTGGGTAACATTTCTTTCTCATGATCTCTTTTAGAAATGAAAAAAGAAAAATCTGGGAAGAGTTCTCCAGTTTTGAAAGACAAAGGTAATAATAGCATAGTTGTAAGTTAAATTATCTGAACAAGAAACTTGTAAATTTGGGGTATTATCTTCACAGTGGTGCAAATCAAAATTACACAGGCTGTTTTAGCATCATATCTTTAGACATACTATCACCTATAAGGAAGTGGAAGAGGGGGAGGCAAGAATAAAAGACAGAGTTTTCTTAACAATGAAAATATAAATAAGAAAATAAAAGTATTAGGAATCACTTGCCTCTATAGCCTCTGACTTTTCCTGTTCTACTAAAATATACATACATTCTCCCTCTCCCCTTCTTTTCGTTCCTCTCTCCACACACATATACATGTGCTTACGTGTTTCATTGCACATATTTTGCAACTCACAGTCTACAAAGACAGTACTTCTAACATAGTTTATGATACTTTTGTTTTACTTGGCACCTGTGCAATGAGAACATTTTGCTCATGAATTATTGTTTACTATGTAGGGAGCCTACAAAGAAAATAGGCCCTTGCCTCTAATGCCAACTCTTCAGGTACTATAACTATCAAAATTTAATATTTTAATATTTTGTTTAAAGAAAACCTGTGCCAAACCCCAAATTAGAATGGAGGGGAAGTTGAAAAAACTTACCCTGGAAAATAAAATACCATAGACCTATGTCTGCATTGATTAGTTCATCAAGTTAACTATATAGACTCCTGTATTTTATGTTCTTTTTAATATACAATTATGAACAAATGTCTACGAAGACTTTTCTCTCCTTTGTAATTATATACTCATTGCAAAATGTCTTCACAGTCATTAGAAAACCATATAAATATATAAGTATGTGAACAAATATAAAAATATATGATTTTATTGTATATGGCTCTTGATTTAGAATTATGCATTGTGGACGTCTTTGTTTTTAACCTGGGTCACATTACAGCACTAAAATGCCTTTGTAAGATACATCAGATACTGTCTCAGAGAAAAAATATTCAATTTTCTTTTTCTTAGAATAATTTATCACTCTAAAAAATATCAAAATATGTAATATCCATATAATGTTTTGGAGTCCGAAAGCCTCTGCTGTGCTTTTTTTCTTGGAGTATTTCTTTGTAGCCTGCTGTGGATATTTGTCTGAAGAAACATGAAGCAATCTCACTTGAAAAGGCCTCCTACATCACCTCAGTGTGTTTCACATGTTATTTCTATTATGCAGGAAAGAATATCTACATTTACCAATCTCACTAGACTCTGCTGCACGGACAGTCCAAACTCATGTTGAATCACAGTAAAATTCCAAAATGGCAGCATTATTATGAGAAAACCATTTGAGACTATATTTACAAGAGAGACCATCACATGAATCAGTTAGGCATTTAGATCATTGACTGTGTCTTTCTATAAGGAAGAGTATAGAACTCTTGAATAGGAAGATCAGTGCACCTTGCTGCCTTTTGTTTCCAGCTGAGCTGTTAGAATTGTGTATTCTAGACTTAACTTTATCCTAAAATCACAGTACACATACAAGGAAGGGCCCTGGTTATGTGGCATTGGCACCCAGAAACCGGAAAATTCTGCTAGTGATTAGCTTTACTGTAGTATATATCTCCTCTTTCTCACTGAGAGTAGTTGTCCTTGACTGATCTCTGTCTCAATTATGTTTTATTACCACTTAATTTCATATAAACACATATATCCACCTTTTCCAAGTAAGACCCTGAACCTGGACTTTGAAGACTTCAGGCTACCACACTGGAAATCTGAAACACTGTCATTTCTCCATTTATAAAATAATCTTTTTTCTCTGGAAGCAGCAGTTTGCCCCAATCTTTGAAAAAGTAATGAGTATCTGTAGTGTGTTTCTTCATCTCTGGATTTTGATATCAATGTGACAGTCTGTATTATAGATGAAAAGCTGACACTACTTATTTGTAGCATTGTAAGTAACAATAGGAATATCACTTTGCCACAAAGTTCATTTTCAAGAGTTCTATATATAATATATAGGTCTAACTTAAACTCAAGAAACTCTTGATTTTAAAAAACATGATAATTTTTAAATTTCCTTTTAATAACATTATTTACATTTGGAGGAATACACTGTGATTTTTCATATATGTTTATCAGGAGGAATATTAGGTCAGAATTATTAGCAAATTTATTGCCACATATTTACACTCATAGTAACATTACAAGATGCATTAATATTCTTCACAATCACTTTCCTGTGCACTAAAACAGTGCTGCTAATTTTCACCAATTTAACAGACTTTTAACCCTTTACTTACCTATCCTCCTCCTCCTTCCCAGATACCTCTCTCATAATATCTGGAACCTTTTCTACTCTCTGATTGTAGATTCTTGTTAATCTTGGTTGCATGTGTCAGTGAGGTGTGGTATCTTTATTACTGTGTGACTTATTTCATTCATTCTTGGCATACTCTTAGCTACCTTAACAGCATATTCTAAGCTGTGAGTACAGGGCATCTTCCCAGACCAGGGCAACCATTGTATGCTAAGAATTCCAACCACAATCCCTGAGGTAGAAAGAATAATGGGACTTGCATGATAGGACTCACATTTTCCCCATTTCTATTGCATATATGTTTTCTTTATCTGCAAAGGATTTAGTGAGCTTTAATGTTGCAAAAATTAAATAAACAGAAAAACCGATTTACTATTATTGTGTGATTACCCTGTTGGGGAGCAAGAGCACATCATTTCCAAAGGCATGACTGCCGCCCATTTTATGGAACACCAACGCTTGACTGAAGTTTGTGGAGGAAAGTAGTTGCAGGGAGACCGCTTGTCAGTTCCCAGCTGCACAGCCACGAGATAATCACACATAAAACATATTAATTAAATCACTTTTGGCCCATTAGATATAGCTTCTAATTGGCTTGCTCTGACCTATTAATTTAACTAATTTCTACTAATCTGTGTATCACCATGTGGCTGTTACTTACCAGCTAAAGTTCTGGCGTCTGTCTCCGGCAGGGCCACATGGCTTTTCCTGACTCTGCCTCCTTTCTCCCAGCATTCAGTTTAATTTTCCCTGCCTACCTCGATTTTCTGCACAGGCCCAAGACAGTTTCCCTATTAACCAATAGTATTCACAACATACAAAGCGGAAGACACGCCAATGTGGTAGACTAAATACATGTAAAACCTGAGAAAGCTTAAAACTCTGGCTATGGAGGTATTTGAATGGCATTTTTGGGAGTGGGTGCTTGTATGTCCACTCGGAGCAGGGAGGAAAGTAGCTGAGATTATGCCCATGTCTCAGTGCTCCCTGCCTGGGCATGCGGCAGGATTAGTTCTACTAGGAATGCACAAGCAGAAGAGCATGGCAGATTCCTGGTGCCATAACAGAGATATTTCCAGGTCACACAGTATGCATCAGGGCATATTTAGCTATTACTCAGATAAAAAAGGATTTATGTGCTGCATGCTCATTATCAGAGTTAATGTGCTGAGTGTGGCTCCTACCTGGCAGTCCCAGAGCAGGCAGTAATGGTACCTCCACGATTTTGAAAGTGGAGAGGTGGAGCCAGCATCCCGAGCAGCTGCAACCAAGCTCCTTACCATTTTAAAAGCTCTTCAAGACAGTAAAGAATTACAGATACACAATAGGACAGATTCAGAAATAAAAGACCTCTAAATGGATCACGGTGTTGGATAAATGTGCAGAGGTTTGAGAGGGAGAAGAAAAAAGTATAGAGAGTTATAAAAAGAAATGGTTTAAAACAAAACAAAACAAAACAAAACAAAGTCTTTAAAGAGACAGTGTACAGACAGTCATAGAATAAAGGAGTAAAAATAATAAGATAAATATTAAAAAGTAAGAGTAAAAATAATAAGCCACATAAAGATGGAATATATACAAAGTCTAGATTATGTATATTATTTTGTCTTCTTTGAATTTTTTGACTGTGAAGTTGCTAAATACAGAGAGACATTTTATTGGATGGGTTGCTAAGCTAAACCAGCATGTATATAATATCTCAACTTCAGATTTTGGGTCTAAGGATATATTTCTTTGGAAAAGAGGTTCTTCTTTTGTTTCCACAGAGGATGAGAACCTGTGGATTGCTTCTATACTAATATGGTTCGATGGACCAAGGACCTTTGAAAAGTTGTCTTGAACACCCCTCAAAAAATTACTTTGCCCAATAAACAGCAGGTAGCAGTTTGGAGAATAGCTACACCCATATACCCAAATATTGTTTATAAATGTTCTTTTACATTTAAGGGGGGATATGCTATAAAGATTTGCATTGGTATGGATCTTGGTTTATTGACAAAGATTTTAGGTCTCTCTCATATATATATTTTCCCTGCCTACATATATATATATATATGTGTGTGTGTGTGTGTGTGTGTGTGTGTGTGTGTGTGTATTCTTGATTAAGGTGTGGTGACTGTGCAGTTCATTTAAAAATGTATAATTAAGAAATAAAGGTTAATAGAGAATCATCTATAATAGTCAAGCTTCTAGTCATGTTAGTTGGATTTTTTGATGTACAGAAATGCATTTTAGATGGATAGGCATTTACCTATATTAGTTTTCTACTAAACTAAACTCTTTATAATCCCTTATTATATTTATTAAAAACCCTCAACTATCTATATTCTATTTAAACTAACATCATTATTTCATTAAAAAAAAAACATTGCTTCAGTTAAACAGTAGAGTTTAAGAGGAAATCATGTTCATAATAATCTACAGGTAAAAATGCCCAGTAGAATATGATATTTCCGTGAGATAATCACATTATATTAAAGGTAGTGAGGAATCTCCCTCTGCCAATTTACACCACCAGATACCAGAGAAAATGGCAGCAGCAAACTTTTAAAGACACTGCAGTAGCAAGAGACTTTCTGGAACTAAAAGCCCTTGGAGCCTTGCCTATCTGAAAATTTCTCACAAGAGCTTGCTTCCTGGGAACTTACATACTGATGTCCATTGCCACCTGCTGCTCCTCTGACATGGCCACCAGCAGGTTTGATTTCTAATAGTCAGATATGTTTTGATAGACAAAAGATGCACTTTTTTT